CCCTGTGTGCCTTGCCTCCCACGACTCCTACAGTTGTCTTTTTACTTAGGACTTTAGTTATTTAAATTGTTATTTTTATTTAAGTAATTTTAAGTTTGTATAAAACTTTGGTAAACTTTTTTGATATCAACTTTGTATTTTGTTAATTTTTCTCTTTCTAGATTGAAGTTATATTACCACCAGGTTTGCTCAGTATTGTGTGGAAGAGCAGTCATGTTAAAATATTTTGGAAAATCTCTTCCTTATTAATCAACTGAAAATATGTACTGTACTGGCCAGAGAAAAGAGAAATAATACATAGATGAAACTTGTGTAAAATGTTCCATACATTTTACTGCAGATATTATTAATCAAACACATAAAATGATGAAATACTGGTGGTTAATCACCAATTATACAGTTTCATTTTCATACAAGTTCTTTTTTTTTTCAAATTGTTGTTCATAATTGTTTTACAGGGAATGAGGTCAATTGTATTCAATGTTTTCAAATAATTGTAAAACGTTTTAGTAGTTAATGATACTTTGCAATAAAAAGTAAAATATCACAACTGGTTTTCCTCATTTTTAAAAGATCCGATTAAATCAATTTTAAAACTTTTTTTGTTCATATGTAGCAAACTGTGATGTTTTTTCTGTAGTTCTAAAAACTTAGAGACAAAAAAATATAGGTATTCTTTATTTTTGTAAACATTTGAAATTATCCATGATTTGCTTGATCAAATATTTAGAAACTTAAATTTATGTACAAAATCTCTTATGGTTGTAAATAAACAAAACCCCACATTTACTATGGATGTATTTATTTATCTGATATTCTTAGATTTACATACAGGCTGAGAAATGCAATGCACACATACACAATTTCCATTGAAAATGTTAGGTAATAAAGTTTTCCTTCAAAAATCAAATGTTATATTCACAGGAAAAGAAACATTCTGAATCTGAATAAACAACAGGCCTTGCCAAATAGTGATACCTAGAAATTGGGATTGTCATCTTCAGTTTTGTGCAAAACATGACAATTGTTAATACACCATTGCTCTTTAATGAATAGAACTTAAGTTTTATCTTGCTGTATCCCCCATTTTTGAAGCTTTATATTATTTTATCATATTACAAAAAAAAAAGTCAAATATATCTGCACCTTTATATTATGATGCCATATCTGTTGGTACTACTATTGTCCCCTAGTAGAAAAAACTACCTTAAACTTAAAGATTATAGATGTTGGACTACAAAGCTGCAACATCCAAATGTGATGTGGAAAATGAAAGATCTCTTTTAAGAATGACTTTGAATGTGTGTGTATTATATATTTTTCAAACATGAAGTTAATACGAAACAAGGTGTATGTTTCCCACCCCTAGCAATTTGCAGTGATTAAAGAGCCCAAAGGTTAAGGTCTGTACCCTGAAGATTTTGATGTTATTGCAAATCTACCATTGTCACGTATACATGTACAAATCTTTCAAATTTCCAGAAGGTTTGTAGTCTAAGCCTCAAAGATTTTTTGATATTGTTCTACCCTGCATGCAGCAATGAAAATAATTCTGACAATACAGATTTATTTTCATGTTTATTATTATTAATTTTTTTTTTGTTAAACAAGACCGATGTCTGTAGGTTTACTTTTTTCTTAGAATTCTTCTCAAGAAGTCGATAAGCCATCTCAACGTTGTTAGAACAACGGGTAAAATTGTAGCTAGTGATGAGTTGGCCGA